TATAAAATTAATCTGCATGTAAAAATTTCAATGTGAAAAGGTTTCATTGCAAAATAGTTAATGAAATAGGTTCATGATGGTAAAACATTTTCATTWTCTAATTGATTCGTGATTCATGAACTAGTTTCATGGTGATCAATGTTGCATTGTAATCGAAGTTGATCAGTTTAGTTGGTAGAATGAACATGAAATGGGTGCATAAAGGATTTTGTTCGTTATGAAATAATCGTATCATGAAACGGGTGCATAGTTAATGAAATAGATTCATGTAAAATAGTTAATAAAATAGTTAATGAAATAGATTCATGTAAAATAGTTAATAAAATAGTTAATGAAATAGATTCATGTAAAATAGGTAATGAAATAGATTCATGTAAAATAGTTAATAAAATAGTTAATGAAATAGATTCATAGTTAATGAAATAATGCATAATGGATTTTGTTCGTTATGAAATTAATCTGCATGTAAAAATTTCAATGTGAAAATGTATCATTGCAAAATAGTTAATGAAATAGATTCATAATGGTGAAACATTTTCATTTTCTAATTTACCTGATATGGTTGCCTTGAATAAAAAATACTATGAATTAAATTTGTTTACCGATTCTACCTTTATTGATGAAATAAAATAAATATTAATTATTTTTTAATTTTTAATTTCCTAAAATAAAGTAATGTAATCTTAGCCATTGATCAAAAAAATGAATTGATGATATTGGTTTACACGGTTTACACAAATGGGTCAAGTTTTTATTTGAACGCTCCTCTATATATATATTCAAATGTTAACCAAAGTTTTTGTGTTAACTTTGTTAACCGATCTTGGCCATTCAATCTTTCAATAAACGATTGTGATTAATAATGATAAAAACTTATTTTTTTAAATTTAAAATTTCATAAAGATAAATGAACAAAGTTGAAAAGGGTATTTAAGCAAAAAAAATTATGTAACTCCTATATCATTAATTGGGAGTTACAAAATCAAAAAATTCTATGATTTTTATTAATTTATTTTTATTAATGTAAGAATCATATGAACACAACTATATATATAT